ACCACCCAGACGCCCAGGGAATGTCAATGCCTCCGAAGTCAGAAGAATGTTCAAACAAAAATAATTTGGGGTACCATCTGGTTATTTAACATAGCCATGGAAAATCACCATTTTTTATAGGTAAACCATCTATAAATGGGCCATTTTCCATGGCTATGTGTTAAATAACCAGATGGTATTACAAGGTGAGGACCCCCCAAGCAATAGCTAAGTTGACTTATAACTTGGTTAACTAGGGTTTATAAGTGATATAACTGTAGCCAATTGGTTTATAAATCAACAAACATAACTGGGGGGCTGACCTTGTATGATATGAATGGTTAATGGTTAATATGTTTTGTTCCCATAACCAACAATGAATATCAATGCCTATTAAATCATCTCATAGTATCCCACGTTATTCTTGGTTAAATCACATCAGAATCATTAAACATAATACCCACAATATGTGTTCATATGCTCATGGCTAATAAATAGGCTTACAATATTCACTGTATTCCATATCTAAACCATAGTTTAACACTGTCTTTTACATCAACAATATTATGATAAATGTGTTTACACTAACCACATTATGAAAAATATCCCATAGCACAGAAAACATTATTAGCGTCAACATCGAAATATCCCATGTAATAACCAGATTATGATAAAGACAACCGCCATATGGCCCACTGCATATTTTTCATACATCACTAAGGTTATATCATATGTTATATATTATATATATATCACTATTAAGTAAGTTGTTCCTTTTTCCCCAGTTACAACTGTTAAGGGAAGGCATCCGGCTAGTCACCTTTTTGCCACGCCTCACAGTCGGTGGTGAAGTCCCGGTACCTGAGAGATCCCACGAGACTCGTCGCGGGATCAGCCACTCAGCGAGTTTGAAAAAACAAAGGCCACTTCAGGGACCCATTTCTTGGAGGTACCATATACATGATATATATATATATATAATGTATATATATAATGTATATATATATATAATGTATATATATAATGTATATATATATATATATGGTTGGCGGTTTTAACCATCTTGAAAAATATGAAAGTCAATGGGAAGGATTATCCCATATACATATACATATAATATATTATAATATATAGTCTAGACCATATTTGGGTACCTGTTCTTTGGGTACCATTTTGAATGACCATATTAACTATTGACCATCCATTCACCATCCATTAACCATCTGGTTGGTGGTGCAATAACCATCTTGAAAAATATGAAAGTCAATGGGAAGGATGACATCCCATATATGAAATGGAAAATAAAACATGTTTAAAACCATCAACCAAATATATGATATATATATAAGATCTGTGTAAGGGCTATGCAAGGGGATAGTTATCCCCAATATTGGCTGGAAAATCCCCCAGAAAGAGTTCGATGGATTTTTCCAGCCACAGAAAGCGCCATTGCCACGTTTGATTGCCAAAGGGTAAATGGGATACTACTGGGATACTAAGTAAGATACTAGGATAACATGCATAATTGGATTATAGGAACCTGTCTATATAGCGGGATCTAGAACCAACATATCATATGTGCCAAAGTTCATAGCAGGATAATCAACAGATTTAACCAACAACAATAGGTATTACAATGAGGATAATGGGAATGGATCATGAACACTGTAGATATTACAATAGGGATAACAGGGGACCCCCAGTCGAGCGCTCTGTTGCTGCATCATGGCTTGGTAAATGTCCTTTTGTGGCGATTTTGTAAATTTCTTGCACATTAGCCTAATTGTTGGAGATAAACTATTTGAATGTTTGTTGGGTGATGTTTAGTTAGGACATTTACCAACCCCTATATGTGCTAAAGGCAAGTTACATGGTTACCGCATACAATTGACATATGCAATGCCTCCCTCGCCCAGTTGTGTTTGTTGGTTATATTCACCCATAATAATAGTTAGTGTAATAATGTTGAATATCTCTAGCATAAATCCTATGTGCCATAGTCAAAAGCCTGCATAAGGCAAGTTTGCATTGCATATGACATTATCAGGGTAATCTGCCTTTGTATGCCGTTGTAATGTTGAGGATCTTCTCTTCACCTGGGTGAAGTGAAATTCCAGTCTTTCTTGGTTTAATCCTTTAGAATCCCAATGTTTGTTCAATCCCCATGGTTGATTAGATCATAATCTTAAACCACATAAATCCTAGTTTCTATGGGGCCATCAACGCAACATAAATCCACAACTGTCTGGCTCAAACCATCGTTTCTACTAGTTCAATCCCAATGATTTGTTAGATCCTAAGTATCTAAGCTAGTATCTAAGTCTCAAGTTGTATGGCCTAATTCCAATGCTTTTGTAGGCTAAACCATCATTTTTGCCGTTTGAATCCCAAATTTCCTTGTGAAATCCTTGTTGTTTGGCCAATCCCAGTCGAAGCTGGCACGTTGTCATCCAAGGCACAGGTTCGGAGCCTTGGGTCCTCCCACTGGCCAAAGGGCCTGTTGACGCTGGCTTTTCTATGATCTCTATAGTTTCAATGGATTGATATATAACCAACATTCATTACACTAACTATTATTATGGGTGAATAATGTATTTAGTTCAATGGATTGGTTTAAGGGAAAATGTGAACTACAGTTTCCCATTTAGGAAAATCCATAGAATGGATTCCCATAAATTATCTATAGTTTTCCCATTCATTTAAGGGACAATGTTAACCGGAAAACCCCATGATCTGAATGGGATTTTTTTTGTGGTTTCCTGTAGAGTTCCCCTTAAACCAATCTATTGATATAAGCATTGGAAGGTATATCATCATTATATCTAAGTATATACTTCAATATCATAGGCCATAGGCTTCAATATCTATGTTTCATGTTTAAAAAAAGAAAACATGTTCCATGTTCAATATATACATAGATATTGAATATGGATATTGAACATAATTACCTGATGACACAGTGGTGGGGACATGGTAGTACCCATCAATATACACATCATTCCCTGATTGTACATGGTAGTGCCTGGTAGTGTCTGCCTTTGTTGTACGATATCATATAGCCAAATTCAATCCCGAATTTCATTTCATCTGGTGTGTTTTTTTCGGAAAATATCCGAAACATGAAGAAACAGTTGCACTACAGCATCCATCCAAGATTAACCCAAAATAAGGTAATGTATAATAGGATAAGGGAATGATCATTGGGCAATCGATTTTGTTTATCCGAAGAGCCCTGGAGCCCTGAGAATGCTCAGTCAAAACTAATTCGCTGTATGTATGTCTAAATATCATCAATAAGCCCTATGTATTTGGTAGTTATATATGGGATTTGCTGTATCTGTGGATGGTCCTGGATGGTAGTATTTTGTCGTCATCGGTGTCATCGGTAATTGTCACTAGTCATCCATGTATAGATGGTGCGATGGATGCCATGAAATGATGAAACACTCCATTGATCATTGTTCCTCGTTTGCATATTGAAACAAAGTTGTACCCTTTTAAATAAATGTTGGTTATGACTAACATAGCCATGGTATAGATGGCCCATAGAAATAGATGGTTTACCTGGGTTTACCGTTCTTAAGCCTTGTGACTTTCCATGGCTATGTTAAATAATCAGATGGTATACCCTTGTACATAAATGTTGAATTAAAAGTTCCATTGGTGCTGAATCAGTTTAACAAATGCCTTTCACTGACCTAACTTTGCTTGCTAGACCCCCTGATCTGTCCATTTAAATATGCATTGTTAGATGATACAAGAAAGAACCATGGAAATAGCCAATTGGAGGTGTCCATAGTCATGGGGGTACCCATTTTCATCATCCATTTACAGGATGGATTTTCCATGAAATAAACCATCCAGCTATTGGGGTACCCCCATGACTATGGAAACCCCCAATTGCTTCATCAGCTCAATACCAGGCACTTTTCCACATCTCCCAGCCTCTGTGCAATGCACATAGCAGACTGGATCCTGAACGTTGTACCCCAGTGAGCTAAATCGCAAAGTTGGTGCAAATAAATCACTCCAATTTCACTATGGTTTATGGTCGATTTAGGAAAGCTCCGAATATGAGCTAACCGTCAGCTAACCCCTATTGATGGGGGGATCACCATCCGCTGAGCATTTTCGACGAAGTCAACTCACACATGTGAGTTGACTGGGTGCTAAGATTCAACCAATGTTGTTGAAACTGACGACGTCAAATCATGGCCAATCTTGGATACCCCATAAAGATGGTAAATATACCTACCAGATCCTAACAGTATGAAGTAACCATCCAAGGTTGCCAGAAAGTAGCAATGTACGATTTGGAAAAATGAACTGGGGGATGCTTGAAGATACCCATTTTAGCTTAATGACAGTCAATCATTTCGTGCACAGTGGTTGATACTAGCCATGGAGGTTTTCTGACGCTTCGAAAATCATGGAACGAACTGGTGGAATTTCTACATAGGCCATGTTTTTCATTAGAGGCTAATTGGAAAGGTATTGGGACATAGTGAGCATAGCTTTGTGTTGATTATCACTACAACATATTATGATTCATCCCTAAGATAATTGTAAGACAATTGGTTGTAACTACCTATTGTTTGACTATAACTACTTAGTGATAACTATCACAACTCCGTTATCTAATTATTATAGGGTACTTGTCTAATTATACTTGGCTATAGTTACTGATGGTAGTTATAGAGTTATAGCCATGGTCAATCTTTGGTAGTCCACAAGAAAATATCCAAGGTTCGGGTTGTATGATGGTATCTCCCTGAACAAATCAGTAGTATCATCAGTAAAATACCATGGGAAACCCGAGAACAAATCCGTACCATCGGGAAAACACCATGGAAGTAATACCATCAGTATTACCCTCTGGTAAACGTTTACAAAAAACTATGGAAAGATCCACCATTTTCAATGGGTAAATCCACGAACTAAATCACCATTTTTAATAGCTATTTTGACATAACCATCAGTATTACCATTGAAAGTTACAGTCCTGGCATCTCCCGTCCCACTGGAATTCGGCCAAGCCGCCCCTTCACATGGCTCGAAGAACTGCGAGACCCGACTTCCGCCTTTCGACGTCGCGCCGTTCGGGCGCCCGTGAAGGCCTGGGGCGTCGAAAGCGGGGAAAGCCATGGGAAATGCAGTGCCAGTGGATGTTCAATATCTAAATGTGGAATATTAGTATCATCTTAACTTTTAGATATCTATGAAACAACGTGGCATATACATGCATATATATATATATGTGAATGTTGGATGTTGTTGGTTAATAGCGATAATGTTAATTTCTGAATTTTGGATAGCAAACAAGTCCCTATGGATCCAAGCACGACCCTATGCCATGCCTTTAGTGGATTCTCTATATCTAAGATCTTGCAATACGGAAGATATGGTGAATCGTTAATACTATGATCGTACTATGTTTTTTGTTAATGTTCTGTAGCTAAACAAAAAAGCCTATGGATCCAAGTACTACCCCCTCAGGAATCCGTACTTGTTCAGGAAGTGCATCCATTGGGCTAAGGATGGTTGAAACCACAACGGATAGACTGATCATAACCTTTCAATTTCCAGTTTAGAGGGAAATTTCCTATATATATATATATAATTATATATATAATTATATAAATATATATAATAATTATATATAATTATATATATATATGAATCCAAAGAGGGTTCACCAGATATTCGAGGAAACCAAAGGATTAAATGGGATAACATAGTTGGCAGCATGCTTTCCACTACATGGATCGGTCACCAGTTTGAACCCTTTCATCCAGGTTTGACTCAACATAGGGAAAATCATTTGCTTACAGAAAAATGAAGATGAACGCTGGGATTTGGGGGTACCCACTTTTTGAACTTCGAGAACCGGAAAGCATTAACACATATCTTATTGACAGAAACTAGGCTCTCCAAAATCTCAAGGTCGATTGCTTGATCATCATCTCCCCTTAGATTTAGATCTGCCCAAGATATCCGCAAAATCAGAATTTCCAGGGAAAAAAACAAACGAAGCCAGCTGCCGGCGAGCTTCTGAATCGAGCTTGTTGCCTCGGTTATAAGTTGGCTTCTAGTCCCAGGGAATATCGGTCAAGATCATAATGATTTGACTTGGAAAGAAAACATCGCCAACCACCGACAAATTGTCGAAACTACGGTCTGGCAATGCAAAAAAATAACAACTTTCTCCCAGGCATTTCAGGATCCTAAAATGGAGGTACGTTAGTACCATATAAGGCCATATGTTCTGAGGATATTCCCTTACATAGGCCAAAAAATAGGCCTTATATATGGTAAGTACCTCCTCTTGAATCGCTTCCTGTTGCATGGCCATTGATTGTAGGAAAAAACACGTTTGTCGAACGATAGGTTTGGGTGGACTCACTGCCTTGCATTTTGCAAGGTCAACCCCGTCTGGGATGTGCAGTCAGGAAGTGGTTGATCATCCATATATATATATATATCCCATATATTCCCATGTTATGAGGGATAATTAGTCCATATACAACTGGGGGTATAACCAATCTACTAAGTGGGATGCACCCCCAAGCTATCTGTATCACCAAGACGCAAATCTTTCAGATCGCAATCTGCTTCCAGCTTTCCAATGTCACCTCAAAAAAAACATAAAGGACTTGATTTTTTTTTCAGAATTGTTGTTCTTTAGTCCTTGAAAAGTCTCAATGTGTCTCCGATCTTTCAACCTGGTTCTTTGAGCTGATCCCTCTAGTGATGGATGCTGCTGGTTGGCATCGCGGCGATAGAGTTAGATGATAGATGTGTGCCTTTCTGTTCGGTAACTTTCTTAGGTAAACCTTGGATATGTTTTGGTGGTTATCATTGTTAATTTATGTTAATTTCTTCCATTTTCATCATATTCTGGTTGGTGGTTGACCTACCCATCTGAAAAATGATGGAGTTTGTCAATGGGTTTCGGATGACATCCCATATAATGGAAAATAAAAGTAATGTTCCAAACCACCAACCAGTATTTACTTTTGCATAGAAATTAAGCACCGTTCTTCACGAGTCGTGCGTCGAGTGGTTCATCCCCTTCAACTCACCAGGTACCTGAAGATATATATAAATTGAAGATATCCATGAACCCCAATGTTTGGATGATACATTCATAAATGAACATAAATGAAGATAAATGTCGAACACGCTCAAAATTATTATGTATATATATTGATGTGACATGATGTAAGCTATCCCCTTAGGGCCCTTATTGATGTGTCTTGTTGACCTTCCCCTTGGCCAAGTTTTGGCCAGGTGCTGCTTAAGCGTCCACGAGCACCACCGCCTACGCTCACCTTGATCAAGGTGCCCGGAGGCCGCCCATGCCATGAACATGTCAGGGGGGGCCACATCAAAAACCCCATAAATGATGATTTCACTAAGACCTAAGAAAAGCAGGAAAATACACCAGCAAACTATGAGGATTCATGGTTGATGTTGAAGAAAGTTGGTTTACTACTCACATCATCAGGGTTTTTATGGGTTTTTGGTAATTATTAAATGTAGTCAATGGGGTTTAGAAACCAACTTCTAACTAGAGGGCCTCACCGGCTCTTCCCTGTATAACAAAACTGGCGTGTCTCAGTAGGGGCATTCTCCAAACTGATGTATCAAAAAATGATCCAATATACCGTCCCCTCTGGTAAACGTTTACATAACTATGGAAAATCACAATTTTTAATGGGTAAATCAACTATCAATGGGCCATTGTCAATAGCTATTTTGACATAACCAGAAGGTATTCCAACACAAATCCATGACAATTCCTCTAAACTTGGCATGAACCTTGGGATACCCCCATATCATCCGATAAATCCCCGCCTGGGAAACAAAATGGCAGTTTTCTGTCTAGAAGTAACTTCAAAAACACGGAATATCGCAGCCGGCAATCCCAAGATCTAGACAAAGGCTGATTTTGCGCCCTGGATTTAACCTAGGAACTGATACGAGAACTGTGAAACAATTGAGACTTGGTAGGGGCATGCAGGAGCAAAACAAACATATCTTAAATCATGTCTTCAAAGAACGAGGTGCAGTACTTGATAAGGATCTTGCAGGGGTTTCACTTAGATATTGAAAACTCTGCCGTCAACATCCAAGTTTGGGGGACTTGATCAGCCCCTATCCCAGCAATGACGGGGGGACATCTTCACCTCGAGGAAACCACCACATCTTAGCCAAGAGACCATAACTGGTTGGTGGTTGACCTACCCCAACTGAATGGAAAGTCATAATCCATTCCATGGTTCCAAAGCACCAAACAGATCAGGGTCGGAAAGTAGACCTCTGTTGCTTCAATCCACTGATCTTCTCATTTACCCTCTGATTATTTAACATAGCCATGAAAAATCACAATTTTTAATAGGTAAACCATCTAATTATAAATGGACCATTTTCCATGGCTATGTTAAATAACCAGAGGGTACTATATTTACTTAACTTTGCAACCCCCAAACAGATGGTATGAAATCTATGCCACCAGCATGGTGATTTGTTTTCTTCCCATATGTTCCACGGTTGAATCCCAGTTCTAGCTGGGTATCCCACTTAATGCTTGCTTAAGAATCCCCCGACCATCTTAAAGCCCATTGTTGGTTTACACCATGGGAATGGTCATGTTTCAAATACATGTGTTTTACGCTTAAATCAGGTTAAATCGTATCATACCTGCATGTTTGCGGTTTAAGAAACCACCGTTTTCAACCGTGAAATTCACATGACCACGAGGAATTTACAGGCACACTGCTCGTAGTGCAGGTCAGTGGCTGAGTGCAAGCAGCTTTGCCTCAAATGGTAAACGTTGGATGGGGCTCAGCCAAAATGTTGTCGTTTTGTAGCCAACATGATCATTTCACAACAACCCCCAAAAACATCCAAAAACGACAAGAATCATGAGATTTCACAAAGAAACTGCACGGACTGATCGATTGGCATAGCCTGCGAAAGATGTAAAACCAGTGGAATTCCCATCATCCCTTGTATGGAGTGGTTAGGGATTGGGTGTTGATACTGTTGATACCCTCTTGGCTGTCGGGCTTGCCGCTGGGGTGAGCAAACCAACAAGTGGGATAGAAGGAGTGAGCCCTGAAGTCGCATGTTTCTGCCTGGACCCTTAAAGGTTCAATGACCTCACATGATTGACGTTTGGATTGTTGTACCATAGCTCAAAATAACGATCTAGGAAGCCCAATGACACATCTAGGAGGCACGTATTCTGAATCAATTGGCCAAGCTATAGGGCCCGGAATGAGGGTTCTAACATCAAAACGCGGCCCTGGAAATGCATTCGAAAGTATCCTGCAGTGGCCACAAACATGGCTGGCCCGAAAATGGACATGTTTGATAAGCAAATCATCTGCGTTATTTTTGCCAACATTCACCCTGTGGCTATAGATACCATGGCAATTGGGGAACATTCCCATTGTGTGGATCATGTTCCTTTCGGAGGTGGGGGCTTTCCAGCCGTATACTTAATATTTCTACCGGCGGTAAAAATATTGTGTAAACTGACATAATAATCCCATCGCGGTGACCTTGATCACATGAAATCAGAACATGCAACAAATCCATAATGAGTCATAATGCGTTTGTCTGAAAATGACATATATCATATATCCCCAAATGGTTATTTTCATGGGGACATTTTATCGCAAACCATCAGATTGGAGGGGGTACCCCCATTTTCAGACAATCCATATTTCGTATCCCTGCAGTTTCTTGGCCCTTTACCAGCTATAAGTCAGTAAGTCACCCCATGTATGGAATGATAACCCCGCGTGTGATTTATAACCGCAAAAAAGAAACGGATAAACGGCTTTGACTGTACAAGGTGGTGCCCCCCAGTTATAAGTTGGTTTATACACCATAGGAATAGTATGTCAATATATCTACCTAATCAACCATAGTGAAATTGGGAAATTGGATTTATAAACGCACCGACTTAGCGATTTAGCTCACTGGGGCACCACCTTGTACCTTTCTTAGAAACCACACATCGTTGGTGGCTCAAAACCCACTCTCCGAGTCGAAAATCGGCCGAGCTTCTGATCACAAATCTCATCCCTCAGCATTTTCAGACAGCAATTTTGCTACCCCAAGAAGGTGGGTATTTATCCAAGAAAGGGTATTTGAAACAAACATATTGGATGTAAGCATGACTCTAATAGGATCTTGGATTCAATGACTAAAGCATGTTAACAGTTTAAACATCTTTAAAGTGCCTAAGATCTGACATACAGGGGATGTAAACCACCAAAGAGGATATTGGATTGAGAATAAGTTTCTGTTCGTTTAAACCATGACAATTGGTCAGTATATCTACCGTGTGTTTTTCAGTGGTCTCTTAACCAACCTTAACTTGGGCCTCCGCGGTGACTGGAACAATGAGGAGTTTAACCAGCTCCATTTTTAATGGTTTCTGTTTGTATTCTTTGATGCTTGACTGAAAAACATGGAGAATGTGCAAGGTATAGGGCTGCTAATTTGTTGCAATTAGCTTGGTTGTGTAAGCAAGTAGGGTTTAACAAAAGTTCATGCTGGATAATTAGAACTACAACAGTTCATGAGGTAAACCAATAACCATTTCACAGGGGAGGCCACAAATTTTAGGTGGCTCCACCCATTTCCGTTGTGGCTTTCCGTTGTGGCAACTGGGCCCTCTGGGCCCTCTGGGCCCTCGGACGGGTAGAAGAAGGACAAACCCTCAGAGGAACCGACGTCCTCCAAAAAGCACGCGTCCTGCCACATCTCAGCACTATGAGAGCATCATCTGATGTTGGTTTCAAAAAAAAATGGTGGTTCATGGTGATTAATAGTGATTATAGATAATGATGGTTAATGATGGTTAATGATTATATAATGATGGTTAATGATGGTTAGAGATGGTTAATGATGGTTAATTATCTGGTTGCTGGTTGACCTACCCCTCTGAAAAATGATGGAGTTCGTCAGTAATTATTAAATTTATTATTCCCAATATGTGGAAATTCCAAACCAGCAACCAGGAAGTCATGTTCAATGGAACTCCCAAGTTTGGATCTTCCCTTTCTGGGATGGCTCCTTAGGCAACTGCAACTCCATCTTTCAACTTTGCATTGCCATGAAACACTGTGGCCCCCCAAAAAAAACAACCAAAAACTCAGTCCTTCCGATCACAGCAATACCCTTGACCCATGGCCAAGAGTCCGGTGGTTTGTTTAAGGATCGTAAACAGGGTTTGACAATGTTGATTTGGTTAAGCATCGGGGGAATGGACTACGCCAGTGATTCTCTTCCAGTCTACATTGGCCATGCACTGAAGGCAGCCAAATGATCCGTAGCAGCTGCAAAGCATCCCATAGTATCATAGTGCAGACTTGGGAATACAATTTATATATAATATATATATATATATATCTCATATATATATATATATATTTAATATTATTTAATGATGTTTTGTGTGTGTGTGTGTGGGTGCTTTGTTGCGGCAAACCCGTCACATGAAGCCACCAGGATCTGACCTGTGACACCTGTGTGGATGCGATATACCAGCCTAATCTGTATCATTTGTTGGGCCATGTATATCCTCATGATCTGATCTCTGATTCCACGGGCTGTCCCAAAATGGCGAGGCCGGCCGCGGTGAAGTTCAAGCGATCCAATAGGTGTCGTGGTTTCTGACTACTTCCATGATGGCTAAGATTCACCGCATTTTCCAAGGAAAAAAACATGGAATGTATGGAATGTCTTAAGATTCAGCACTACTTTCCTATGGAAAAGCAGGTGGCTGGTGGCTTTGGGATGTCACCGGATCCTGTTGGTTGGTCCTCTGCAGCTATAGTCAGTATGGGAAGATGAAAAATCACCAGCCAATGGTGTGGGATTAGCCAAGCCTAATCACAAATTAGATCATAAAATGGGTTTGTCTGAAAATAGGGTATATTCCCAATTATAGCCATTTAATAGGGATAATGATCATTAACCATTGGGTTTAGGGGTACACAACATTTTCAGACAAACCCATATGAGAAATCCCTGATTCCTGGCCAAGTCGAGGTTGGTTTAAATTGGATTCGTTGGCGAAAAACCGCCAAACTTCGACGTCGGCATCCCAGGCACCTGGGTCTTGACCTGCTGGTCGATTTGCATAAAAAGTCGCTTCTTCTGTTGTTCCGCCTAGCGCTTCGCGGGGGTCCGAATGGATGGTCAGCCCGTCGCTGGCGGGCTGGTGGAATCTCCGCAAAACGTCGTGGATGGGCCGTTGCGAAATCCTATAAATCACCAAACAGATGGTTGAAATCCCAACAAAATAATGGGATAAACATGGATGTTTACCACCGTTTTCAACTGGTGCAGGATTTCGCTGGCCCATCCACCGTATGGTTTTTTAGAGGTTTTGACCCATCCCCAAATTTGGGTTGAGAAAGCAGCCCCGATCCCAAGTGCAAAGCCTGAAAATGAACCTGGATACAGCGCAACAATGGGATTCTGGGTAAAGTAGAACAACTTCCTTAAACATACAGAATTAGTTGATCATTCTTAATTAAGTAATTAATCATCACCGCCCTGCCCTTATTCTATGATGTTTGGGCCTGGGACCTGCATCCAGAACGATCCCATGAAAGCTGCAGCTGAAAAACCTCATGGTGAACAACATATGGAGGTTTCCCAAAATGGGGTAAACCTCTAAATCATCATCCATTTTGGTAGGATTTATCATTCTAAACTATCATAAACGATCACAATCTATCCAACTATTGGAATACCTCCATCTATGGAAACCCTCATATGAATTTTAATCAGATTTAATCCATTGTTGCGTTACTAAAATCCACCCTCAGAGATAAATATGGTTAATCATACCACTACTGGTTGGTGGTTTGAACCCTTCTGAAAAATATGAAAGTCAGCTGGGGTCATTATTCCCAATAATATGGAAAAACATAAAAAAAATCTTCCAACCCACCAACCAGTTATGGTATGTGTTGGCATGACACCATTCTATTTTGGATTGCTGTACCATCAAGAAATATCAAGAACCACAACATCCATAAGTCACAACATTTTGCCAGTTGGGGTTATTATTCCCAATAATATGGAAAAATAACAAATCTTCCAACCAGATTATATGTGCATTACCCTCTGGTCATTTAACCCAGCGCCTGGGAGTGGATCAGCTCCAGCTGTTGCTTCCGCTGCAGCTCCAGCGAAGCGTTGCTGCGCTGCTCCTGCCGAGCCAAAAGGATCAGGGACACGATGGAGAAATCCCCCGTTTTTTTTAAGGGGGAATCCATATGATGTATCCACATATGTGCAAAAACATGGCTAGTTGGCTTACATCATCTTACATCTACAATAAATCATATCATTTGTTTGGTTTATGGTATAGATAGATATATATCAAACTATAGTTGCATTCTATGAGATTTGACGGTGGCAAAACATCCAATTTAAAAAGCTGGTTTCATCCAATTGGAGCAACCATCATGGTTGTTTTAACATTTTCTGTGCCCATTTTACCCAATCCAAAACGGATTTTACCCAATCCAAAAACGGCTTGTTTTACCTAGAAACAAATACGATTTGACCATCAGAGACGGAGTTGAAGCCGCTGATTTAATCAACTTGGAGGTCTTTGACCAGTAGGAAATCAAAGGAAATCACCATGAAATGAGCATTTCACCACCACCACCACCACCAGCAACAACAACAACAACAACAAAGTGGCATGTTACAATGTACCACTACTGCTTTGCCCGAGAGGGTTCACCATGAACATACCAACTTCAACAGCATTTTGTGTGCGAAAACAACAACATTCATCTAATCATTATGTTCACATGAGGATTCATAAGATTTCACCAGCATTTTTTGCATAGCTTTACCCAGATAAATTTAGACAGCAACACAAATGCGAATTCAACCAGCAAAAGATGGATTGAACAACAAGCACATTGTGATTTTACCAACAGAAAGGTAACTCAATGGTTGCAAAATGTTGCAAACATCATGATTTATACTGTATCCTGCGGCAAAGAGAACAATGTGTCAACCTTTTTAGGCGCAAGCTGCAGCGCATCTTCATCCATCTAATGCGAAGAGCTTAGCGGGAATAGACCATGGTTTCACCTCCGAACATCTCTAAAACTGGCCGGTTCAACATGTTTCAACACATATGGTTGATGATATGGTTGATGATAGTTATACCAACTTATGGATAATATAACACATTGGGTTACAACAACATATCGCCAAATTTGTTTCATTGTTTTCTTTGAGATAGCTTAAGAAACGCTTAGCCCACCCTGACTTTGGAGCAGGACGCTGAACCTGCTCCTCTAAGGAGGTCAAATAATTCCTGGCGACCAACGACCCAGAAAAAACCCTAGGAGGATTTTGACAACATATCCACTTGTTAACTAACATATCTATTGAAAATAACCATTTATAGTTGATTTGCCTTAAACAAATGGTGATTTTCCATAGCTATGTTAGTTTACCAGAGTGTATTTGTTCAAGCAACAGATTCTACCTTTTGGTAATCAAACATAGCAATTGGATGCAGTTGGCAATCCCGAAATGCCCTATAAATGGAGGTTTATAGCTGGGAAAATTATCTATACATGGGGGATTTGACATTGCCATAGATTACCAAAGGGCAATCGTCAAAACTGTGGATGTTCCGCTACAAATATGACATTCAACGCATTGGTTTTGTCGGGACAAAACCAACAGGAATGTCCCTGGTATTTCAGGGTTGCTCCCAACACCCCAAGTACACTGGGGGGTTAAATTGACCACAAAAAATGGTCTTAAATGGCTTATTTCCATCATTGAGGCTATCATTTACCATCAGTTACCTATAGTGGGCTGGAGCAACCCTGGAATTTACCTCCCCAAATTGGGGATTGCTACAGGGAGTTACCTTCCACGATCAGTACAGGGACGAACTCGGACCCCGAACCGAACAATTGATTGGAATCCACAGTATATCGATCAATCAACGTGTTCCCAATCAGCGTGTTCCCTATGAACATTGCTATTTTGTGGGGATACCAAATTCTTAAGACATAATTAAACACACAATTACACAGTTAGCTAGAGATGGACAAAGTATAGTGCTCGTCAAGTACCATCTACCATGAAGATACCATGAAGTACTACATTTGCCTTCTTGTTTGGGAAGAAAACGAAGATGTAGTAATTACCAATCGGAAGTAAATAAAAAATAATGAACAATTCGAGGTGATCACATGCCACCTACCTCAAAGTACGTCACTTTACGTCAGGCCACCAATATAACCAATTTGGCAGAATCCCAAATCATTCTGGACCGCATCACAGTGGGGAGACTGAAGATGAGGGGCGGAAAATCACCACGTTTGGTGATCCTCACCATTTCTCTATTGCGTTTTTTTTGTTACATCTCCTGCCTTCTTCAATCCCAGTGAAGTTAAATTCTAAATTTTGTTGTCACCAGTGATTAGCCCTGGCCCCCATTTCTTGTCATTGCATATGCAATTCAACGAGCTCCTAGAAACTCTGCGGTCCGAGGATCTCTTTTTGTCGTTCCACTGACGTTGGGTCCGGCCTGAAGACCAACAGGTTCAACCATCAAAGACCAGGAGAAAAAAAGGGACGACGCAGCAAAGATAGGGCTTGGACCAATGCAAAAATCATCAAATACCCTCTGGTAAACTAACGTAGCTATGGAAAATCACCATTTCTAATAGGTAAATCAACAATTTCTATGGGCCATGTTCAACAGTTTTGTTAAATTACCAAAGGGTATCCGCACAGTGTCCTTTCGAAACAACCAATTTCCTCCCCTGATGATTATTGTGTTCCCTTCTAAAAAATGACAATCCTCATATGAATGGCTTGAACATCCTATTTCTTGGTTTGAACGAACGTATTCATCATAGCTAATCATATAATAATCATCCCTCTGAAAGGTCTAGAAATATCGTCCCCTCCATGGTCATTTGAGCCATGAAAGATACACATATCCCATGCCATTCTACTAGTTGGTTACTAAATATTCCGATGAAATGGCAAAAATCAATCTCTGTCCATCCACTTTGTTTTGGTGTCGGAGCGCTAGTGTACTGGAAAAGAAAAGAACCAGAGCCACTGTACCAGGTGGAGTATCCTTTGGATTAATCCATCAACTATGATCATGTACTTCTTGGCTGTATTTAGAAATATGGTATTATTATGGCTGTAACTATGGGATTAGTATGGCTATTATAACTACAGGATTTTGAACATAACTATCAATAACTAGATATAGCTAATTATGGGATGATTACCATCTGGTTATTTACCATAGCCATGGAAAATCACCATGTTTTAATAGGTAAACCGGTAAACCTCTATACATGGGCCATGTCCCATGGCTATGTTGAATAACCAGAGGGTAATTATAGTTGTCCTATCATACATTTTTCTATTAAGATCTCCCATGAATCCACCATTCTTCATCAATAATACTCATATGTCAATAATCCCATTTATATCAGCCATTGTCCTTCATGATCTTCATGGCGAGCCGGATCGAAGTCTTGGGCTTCGACAAGCCCGAGGTCAGGGCAGGTGGAGGTCCATAAAGGACCTCCCGGTTGGGCACCTGGCCGCTGAAAATGCTGTGACGTAGCGGCTGGTAAGGTGTATATCTTACTAATATCTCTATATATATATATACATAAATGCAAAAGTATATATATATATATAATATATATATATTATGTTGTTATATTAAATATGTATGCATCTATCTATCTATCTATCTAACTATATATATATATAGATCTATCTATCTATCTATTTATCTATCTATCTATCTATCTATCTAATATTATCTTATATTATCTTATCTTATCTTATCTATCTATAAAGCTTTAATACATTATCATCGTTGGCTTACAACCTCAAATTTTAGCCAAAATTATAGCAACCCCAAAATAAATAAAAACATTGGATACCTGTAAATAAGGACATGTAATCTATATCATCCTGGAAACACTGTTCTATCTTTTTACGGGTTGTCGTACAGCTTTAAACATTTGTTGTAGATGTTTGACCTTATGATTCAATATATGATCTATTCTTAGAAGGTGACATAAACCAAATTTCAACTTGGGGCACGGGGGGGGACCCACATTGTATTATGATGCTATGGTAGTTTTCACGCTAAAGGACTTTCCAATATAATACGGATGCTGCCTGAAACAATGGAGCTGGTTCATTCACAGGGTTTCAGAGAAATATACCAGAAAACATGGAGTTGGCAGTCATTTGACACCTGAAATTCATCGTAAAGAGTAGGCAGGAGATTACCTTCCAAATACCGAGGAAAATAAAGACACACACATGACTTTGGGTAATTATTTAGCCCTGCTTCTTTCAGAAAGAACAAAAACTTGGACGACCTCCATATCTTTCTTGTTGAAAGCCCTAGCCAGTCTCATTCAAGCAGAACAGTGGGAAACCCCTTCCACATGAATCCGATTTGTTGTTTTGTTGTTTTTTTTTCTACGGTTTGATCAATATATATATATATACATATATATATATATCAATAGATTGAAAGGTACATTATATCCAAATACATGAACAAAAACGATCAAACGTCTTCGTTCCAAAAATCAGGCGAGAAAACATCAAACTTAGAAATATATAGAAATATCATGAAATATCACATATCCATACATGGAGGTTTCCTAAAATAGGGGTACCCCTAAATCATCCATTTTTTAATAGGATTTTCCAGTATATATATGTAAAAACACATCCAGCTATTGCGGACCCCCATGACTATGGAAACCTCCATATAGAGATAGAAACAAATATCTCTGATATTCCATCAGATATACATATATATATATATATACACATAGATAGATAGATAGAGATATATATATACATAGATAGATATATATACTGTATATATATATATATATATCGATTGAAAGGTACTTCACATCCAAATACATCCAAATACAGATAGTATCTCTGATATTCGATTTGGAGAATTTTTGTTCCAAAGATCTCTCCGCAACTGTCGACCGTTGGTCGCCTGGAACTGCCCGGGCGCTCCAACTGGCTGAACACTGGGCGTGGCCTCAGCGGATCGCCTTTTGGGAAAGTCCCATGGGAGTTCTGACCTTGATCAGAAGATATAGTGGTTACCCTCTGGTAAACTAACATAACTATGGAAAATCACCATTTTTAATGGGAAAATCCACTATAAATGGTGATTTTCAATAGCTATGTTAAATTACCAGAGGGTAAATTATGTTTAAATCAATACTACGGGTTTACTATATAAATGTGGGTTAAATATGGTTAAATGGTTTATACCCCACATGATATGGTGATGTTTAAATCCATGTGGGTTAAAAAAATGATCACCATATTAAAAATAGTAAATAATCCAATTGATGTTTGATAAATATATCATAGAGAATCAGTTATATAAAAAAAATGGTTTGAGGTTTAAACCATTGTAAAAAGGAAACAATCCCACATGTTTTATAAATTGGTTATATTGGGTTATATCTAAATATATATATATATGAATCCCCAAATAAATTGTTAATAAATAGTTTATCAGTTCTAAAAAATCCACCTTAAATGGCTATGGTTAAATTGGTTAATGTGGTTAAAACAATGCCATAAACCAAATCACCATTTTTAGAGGTGGTATTTTCACCATTCCCAAATGGGTGCTTTATGACAGTGTTTTAACCACATTATAAACTGGTTGGTGGTTGGGCCACCCTCTGAAAAATATGAGGTCGTCAGTTGGGATGATTCTTCCCAATATATGGAAAACATAATCCAAACGTTCCAAACCACCAATCAGATATAAGAAATAGATTAATCAGAAGTTAATAATGGTATACATCCATGATTTTTGAGATATATGAAAAAGTTTATCATGGTATGTCTGATGATAATCTGATGATATAAGATAGTGATAACCATGGGATAGTTGATTTAAACAATGTGATATATTTATATAGACGATAAGTATGGTTGGTACAATATCATATCGGAGAATCATTGCCACTATATAAATGGGTACTATATAAGTTGATAAACTAGATAACTAATGAGTGGCAACGATTTGGTTAATCATATGTGAGTGGCTATCATTTTATCAGCTAACACGTTTGGCTTACCAGTAGTAATGTTATGTTATGTACAGTAATTTATTTTAATGATTGATGTTATGAATAATAGTTGATGTCAAACGGACCTTGGCTGGAAACCCACTTGAATGATGTTTTACTTGGGATATTGGAGGATACAAACATCGGATGTCATCATCTAGTATTGTCTAAACATTTGTCATGTTTTTCAATAATCAATAACAGAGTGCTGGTTCCACTTGACCAATAAACAATAACCTTGTACGGGGGATATTGGATGATAACATAGACCATGATATTTATCGGCTATCAGTTATGCGCTAATGTGATGTAATAGCTTGGTTTGATATGAGAGTGTATATTACCGTAATATTTGATGATATTAGTGATGTCATGAGGATTTCAAGGTTTTTTACTGTGGAGTTTTAAGTGTCAACATGTGTCAACCAGCAAGAAAAAACAGAATTTCTGGCTGGTTTAATGACCAACATAGGCTCATAATGGCTCATACTACCATTCACTGGAGGTGATCATAATCCCGCGCTGGGATTGGCCATCAACCACAAAGATACCCCTTTTCCTCGCTGGGTCTTGGAAAGCCAACGACGGCTTTTTTGGGCCTCCTGTGTCCCGAGGTGTCGAAGAATCCAACGGGGGAAATCCAAGATTTCAACCATGAGCTGTGAAGCTACAAGGTGGTGCCCCAGTTCGTTAGCTAAGTTGGTTTATAATTCCAACAACTATGGTTTATGGTAGGTATATCTATACTTACAATGGTTTATAAACCAACTTATAACTGGGGGGGCACCACCTTGTAACTATGGGGAAATCACTGTCACTAACAGCAGCATCTTTTGTGGCGAACGTCTCCAAGTTCATTTCCGAATCATGGAGGTTGCCGAAATCCCCACGAATTGCAGATCTGACCCACCTCCCTGTCTGGAAATCAAGAACTCGTTCTTGTTGAAAAAACATGTCATTTAAACTGCCGGTTAAATCAAATCCCCTAGTCCCCTAGTTTTGTAGCTACAGTACATATACGAGCACGATAGATGGTATGGGTTGAATTTGCCTACATTATTCTGATCGTATACTTCCTAATCCCATATCACCCCCCTATGTACTTTTAATTGATGGTAAACATCCTCAAAGTTACTGTACAGATTATAATCCTGAAATTTAGCAACGACGGATTCACCCATCTAGTATACTTTCGTCTCATGTATACAATATATAACTATGATAGATCATATACCGTGTATAGGTGAGGCGAATCCCAATACAGTTCCACATTATCCCATATCACCCAAACAAAAACAAGGACAAATATCATAGTTCATCAGTTATAATTTAAAAAAAGATAGTTTGAGGATTAAACCATTGTAAAAAGGAAACAATCCCACATGTTTACTAAATTAGTTATATTGGGTTATATCAAAAAAATATGAATCCCCAACTAAATTGTTCATAAACAGTTTATCAGTTCTAAAAAATCCACCTTAAATGGCTATGGTTAAATCGATTATAGCCGTTATAACCACACTGGGCTGCTGCCCAGCGACCGGCAACGGCATCCCGCTCAATCCGCTGGGATTCGCCAAGTTGGGCACCGCCATCCCGGCGGGTGGCCCTGCGCCAGGGGTGCTGCTCACGGGCGCAGCCTCGGAATGGCTGGGATTGGTGATTTTTACTTGGGAAAATTGGGATTGAAATGGATAGAACCTCACAAAAACCATACAAAAAAACAGGATTTCAGCAACTTGGATTGGGATTGAAACAGCACCCTGAGGATTTCATCGAAATGGTGATTTCAACAGAAATGGGGCTTGAACCAGTAAAAAATAGGATTCAACCAACAAGAATTCGCAGCATTTATAGATAGAATCAGAACCAAAGTAACATTCAGATTTGACCAAAATGAATAAAGACATAGATTCCGAATGTCTCACGGAACAGTAAATGCCCTCAAAACAAACCAAAAGCTGTCAATGTACACTGTACATGTTGGTATATACATTCATATTATACTCCATTGTGTGAACAGGTAAATTTGTGCTTGTTTGTTCAATATATAATCTATCATAAACCCTAAAACACTGTCATAAACCACCTATTTGGGAATGGTAAAAATACCACCTATAAAAATAGTGATTTGGGGGATGGTTTATGGCATTGTTTTACCCACGTTAATGGTTATAACAAGTATAGTAAACGTTTACATAACTATGGAAAATCTCAATTTTGCATTGAACAGTATATCATCTATCATATAAACACCTATAAAAAATTGGAGTTTCATACATATATATATAATCTCGATGGCATACATAGAATACAAAATCGATAATTTCGGCCTCCAAAAGCATCTTCCGGAATCGGTCAAAAAAACCTATACATAGAATAAAAGCATCTTCCGGAATCGGAAAAAAAAAACCTATACATAGAATATTTCCGGCTATCCATTTTGATCAGGGAAAAAAAAAATCTCAGGTTTTGCTGGATTTCTGCAGCCGCCCGTGATTCAAGCAATTCCCGCAAAGGGACGTGACCAATCGGTTTCAACAAAAAAACAGGTCACCCGAAATGACCAGTTTCTTTTTATATTGTATTAAAAAATTGTTTTTTCAGGCTCACCAAGGGTACCCCCCACGACTGGTGTCGTAGAACTATGAAAAAAAACTATTTTGCAATGAAAACCAATGGAATGGGGTGGTGTTCCTCAAAAAATTGATGAATATTTTCACTTGGGACCTGTATTCTATGTATGTAGTTCTGCAAGGAATTGGGTCTCTTTCATGTATAAGGGATATATCATATATGTGATTCCCTTTGGGGAGTAGCAACCCTGGATGTCTAAAGTTCCTAAACTACAACGTTTCAACAACAAAACAGGTCACCCGAAATGACCAGTTTCTTTTTATATTGTATTAAAAAAAATGAGTTTTTCAGGCTCACCGAAGGGTACCCCCCACGACTGGTGTCGTAGAACGATGAAAAAAAAACTATTTTGCAATGAAAACCAATGGAATTGGGTGGTGATCCTCAAAAAAATGATTCATATGTTCACTGGGGACCTATATTCTATGTATGTAGTTCTGCAAGGAATTGGGTCTCTTCCATGTATAAGGGTATGTATCATATCCGTAATTCCCTTTGGCAAGTAGCAACCCTGGATGTCTGAAGTTCCTAAACTACAACGTTTCAACAAAAAAACAGGTCACTTGTATTAAAAAAATGAGTTTTTCAGGCTCACCGAAGGGTACCCCCCAAGATTGGTATCGTAGAACTATGAAAAAAAAACTATTTTGCAATGAAAACCAATGGAATTGGGTGGTGTTCCTCAAAAAATTGATGGATATTTTCACTTGGGACCTATATTCTATGTATGTAGTTCTGCAAGGAATTGGGTCTCTTTCATGTATAAGGGTATATATCATATATATAATTCCCTTTGGGGAGTAGCAACCCTGGATGTCTGAAGTTCCTAAGCTACAACGTTTCAACAAAAAAACAGGTCCCCCGAAATGACCAGTTTCTTTTTATATTGTATTTAAAAAATGAGTTTTTCAGGCTCACCGAAGGGTACCCCCCACGACTGGTGTCGTAGAACTATGAAAAAAAAACTATTTTGCAATGAAAACCAATGGAAGGGGGTGGTGATCCTCAAAAAAAATGATGAATATTTTCACTTGGGACCTGTATTCTATGTATGTAGTTCTGCAAGGAATTGGGTCTCTTTCATGTATAAGGGTATGTATCATATCCGTAATTCCCTTTGGCAAGTAGCAACCCTGGATGTCTGAAGTTCCTAAACTACAACGTTTCAACAAAAAAACAGGTCCCCCGAAATGACCAGTTTCTTTTTATATTGTATTAAAAAAATGAGTTTTTCAGGCTCACCGAAGGGTACCCCCCACGACTGGTGTCGTAGAACTATGAAAAAAAACTATTTTGCAATGAAAACCAATGGAATTGGGTGGTGATCCTCAAAAAAAAAGATGAATATTTTCACTTGGGACCTGTATTCTATGTATGTAGTTCTGCAAGGAATTGGGTCTCTTTCATGTAAAAGGGTATATATCATATATGTAATTCCCTTTGGGGAGTAGCAACCCTGGACGCCTGAAGTTCCTAAACTACAACGTTTCAACAAAAAAACAGGTCACCCGAAATGACCAGTTTCTTTTTATATTGTATTAAAAAAAATAAGTTTTTCAGGCTCACCAAAGGGTACCCCCCACGACTGGTGTCGTAGAACTATGAAAAAAATTACCCAGAACCCAAAAAATGTTCAATCTGCTGGGTTTCACACATGTTTTCGATATGGGAATATCATTATTCCTATGGCATTTGCTTTGGCACTGTTTATGCACTCCAAAATTCTACCCCAAATATTTCTACCCCAAATATTCTAAGTATTTTTTTTTCTGTCCACACCCGTAGGGTTGAAATCGGGCATATTCTATGTATCCCATCGGGATTATATATATAAATAGAAAAACAATCAATATCATCCATCATTATTCAATAGAAACTAACAGTTTGCTATTGATCATGGCCATAGAAACAGTGGATTTAGCCATTAACAGCATGGTGGATCTTTCCAGTTCGCAACATGTGAGTTTACCAGAGGCTATTCACTACAAGGTGGTGCCCCCCCAGTTATGTTTGTTGGTTTATAAACCATAGGAATAGTATAGATATACCTACCTAATCAACCATAGTGAAATTGGAATTATAAACCAACTTAGCTAACGAACTGGGGCACCACCTTGTATGAAACACTGGGAGTTTCACCGTTTAGCCTTGCGGCAACCCTTGGAACCTGTCAGCCGTGTCAGCCCCTGCCCCTTCCGATCGCTGCCAGGAAACATAGCTGGGCGCTGCGTAGCCCACGTTGTAACCCACGCGCGGGGGCGAGTCGGAGGAGTACATCCTGAGGCCGGCGACTGACTCAGGGACTGTTGGAAGATGTGGATGATTTTTGCGACAAAATGGGGATATGTCATGCTGATTCATAGGGATTTAAGCGATTTAACCAACAAAAATGTGGATTTAAGCAACACAAATAGGGATTTAACAGTCGATTATAGCTATTCTAAATATTCATATGTAAATTACCAGAGGGTACATATAGTATTTCAGTATGTTCAATCCCTGTGGTCATTTGTTACAGATTGCTATCGAAAATGGCACATTTAGTTCATTGATTTAGCTATTAAAGATGGTGATTTTCCAGTTTGCTATGTTAGTTTACCAGAGGGTAACATACAGTGGATGGTTGCGAAATCCTGCGCCAGTTGATAGGTGGTAAACATGCCATGGCTTTTGGGGTTTCAACATGTTTCAACCATGGACCAAGGTGGTGCAGGATTTCGCAACCATCCACAGTATAATAGAATAATATGTTATATATTATGAAATGAAACAACTCATATTGTAAAATATACAACAATAAAAAATATATACATAAATAAAAAACAATACATGTATATACATATACATATATAGACCAAGTATTCTAAGTATACAATATATATATATACACAGGATGTATATATAATGTGTTTATGTATATACATTATATATATATTATATATTCACAGTAGTGCATACTACTAGTATCGGACACTTTGTGGATTTTGCATTGGCAATTGGCATATCTGCGCCACAATGAGCCGATGAGAATGACCATTCCACTTCTCTCACTCGTCAATGACAGTAAGATAAGAAGTGGGAATTTGGTCAATTAATGTCAATGATATCGTTATTACACAACTTGTCAATTGAAGATTTGGCCAAAAACAGGGACATCAAACTGGTTCCAATGGAATGATCATTCCAGGGATATGGATTGCCAAACACCTACAGTAAGTCTAAACTCTAAACCCTGCAGTTATGGCCATTTATCAGTTATAAGTACTTATAACCCCATTTATAGAATGTATAATCCCATTTATAACCACTTATAACTGGTAAATGGCCATAACTGTGAGGAGTTGTGGCGAGACTCAAGGTCCTAGGTGGCGCGTCATTTTGAACATCTGGAACGCTGGCAGAATCTTAAGCGGGTTCAAAGTTGGACAATGTTCGTTGCAATGCTCCGGAATCATTTTTAAACAACAACAATAAAAAAAACAACAACATAAAAACTCCCTTAACAAAACACACCTATGGGTTGATCTGAAAATGTGGTATACCCTCTGGCAATTTGTTACAGTTTGCTATTGAAAATGGCACATTTAGTTCATTGATTTACAGTACCTATTAAAGATGGTGATTTTCCAGTTTGCTATGTTAGTTTACTAAAGGGTACCCCCAGTTATACCAATGTTCATAGGCAAAATGGTGCTGAATCCCCCATGAATTCAGCTGAGCTTCTGCGGAGTCCTGGTCTCCACCTGGATCTGGGGAGAGTCACTGTTTCTTTGCTTTTCCCATATGGCGTCCTTGTTCCTTCTTTAGAAGTTGCTAATATATATATATATATACACATACACACATATAATATGATATATATATAATATGAAATATATGTATATAAAAAAACAAAAAACATTGAGATCTAAAACAATTGGATATTAGAGGTGCATATGGCCCTACTTATGATTATTTTCTTGGAATGGTATAGCGTGCTTTTGTTTGGATTTTGGACCCATGCTGTGGGGTTTTTCCTGGCGTCCATGAACAACCGAAAGAAAGAATTATGGAATACGCTCCGAGTTTGGAAAAAAAACATAAGTATCAATGGTCAATGGTTAATAATGGATATTAATGATATAAGAATTCAATGGATATTAATGATATAAGAATTACTTACCATTTGATATACTAACATAGCTAACTGGAAAATCACCATTTTCAACGGGGAAATCAACGATTTCCATTGCCATTTTCCATAGCTACGTAACAAATTATCAGAGGGTACCCCTGCAAAAAATCAGCAAATGTGCTGGTATGCAGAGTTGTCTGGCGAGTATTCACCTAAGTTTCTTTAGCGAGATCGGCCTAATCTGTCCAATTGGCAACACGCAAGTTGTAGGGCAATGGGAAAGCCATCAACACATCTGGTAACTACAGTAGTTGGTCACTAGGTCAATATCCCCATGTTTATTGGTTGATATCCACACGTTGATGTTTCCATTTTGGACATCCACATATCCTCGCCAAATGCAAATATTAACACAATGTGCAGTTGACATACATATATTTATATTGGCATGTGTGAGAATAGGGCACACCTAAATTTGACATCTATAGCAATCATTCTGCCCCATCATTTTCTATTACCATTTTTCATATAGTTAAAGTACTATTTTTTTATGGTTACATCATAATGATTCTTGATCATACATCCTTCAGCATCAATCTGTTCCAGTCACCCATATCCCCATGTGGTGCTCATCTCACACGATTGTGTTTTTCAGTTATAAGTTGATTTGTCATTCCATCTAGCTTTAGATGAATTTTCATTATATGAGCCCGACTTAACTTCGGTGCACCAACTTAGCTAACGACCTGGCGCCTACATCTTTCTGATATTCCAGTAATATTGCCACACTGTGTTTGGTGAGATTACCATTGTCCCTAAAATATCCCTGTAATCATCCGTTCTCTATCCAGAGATTCAACATTATATTATAATTATTCTATCCCATGAGATCGCAGTCTACCCAGTCTACCCCCATTATTGTGTTATTTAAATCACAATGTTTTGATACTTCTGTATGATACTGTGGATGGGCCAGCGAAATCCTGCACCAGGGAAATTGTTGCAGATTCCTATGAGACACTCTTTAAATCATGGGATTCATGGGATCATGTCATGGGATCACAATTACAATATCGCCTATGAAACACTATAATCATTATAGTAGTCATTATATAACTATTGTAGTGGTTTAAACACGATAAAACTTGTTGTCACCGTATGTCGTAGTTAATATAATTATGGTAAACACTGTATATTAATGTTATCATTGAAACATAACAGTTGTAATTAATCAATATTCATCATGAAACACTTTGAAGCACTGTACATAATTGATTGTAATTGATTCAATAGTTAGTTACCATTCATATAGTGAGTTACTATGAAACACTATGAAACACTGCAACAGTTAGTTACCATTGATATCTCCCATGTACTGTTGATCCGGCTGGTGAAAACCAGCACTGAAACGAGATGCAGCTACTGCAGCACCACCGCTGGGGCCACTATACCTGTCGCGGAAGCCACGCCATGTGGTGTCCCAGTGACTAGTGAAGTTGAAGTTTACTTTACTGGTTGGTGGTTGAGTTTCTACCCCTCTGAAAAATGATGGAGTGAAAGTCAGTTGGGATGATGACATTCCCAACTGAATGGAAAAATAATCCAAATGTTCCAAGCCACCAACCACTTTAGTTCACTTCAAGAAAAAGTAACACCAAAATAGATCGAACATGTAATGAAAAATGACTGTTTTAGTAGGAATTCCGTTTCTAACTTCTTTTGGGGTTGCTATAACGGAGATTTCTGCTATACCAACATCCGTAGCTGGGATACATCATACAGTAGCCAACTGGGGATATGGGGACAATACCAACAATGGGGATGTAATAGGGCGTGTATGTGTATGTATGTATATATATATTTAGAGAGAGAGATAGATGTATTGATATATAATATTACAATAGATAAATTAGATCTATATATATATAATATTTATATATATATATACTTATTACAGTACATCAATGAAAAATTGCGTGGCTCTGTCTGAAAATTATGAGGATCTGGTAATCAAATCATCATGTTCCCATTTGACACGGTCATAGACTGGGGGGTAAGTTCCAGATATTCAGACAGACTAGCGTCAAAACATAAAGCAAATCGAAACACAAATAAGACTTGGAAATTGAATGGATGGGAATTGAAGCGAGATAACATCATTAAAAAATTGACAAATATAAAAAACTATCTCTATTGAAGCACGAAATGAAAAAGTTAGACCAAGAGAATCCAAGGGATCACTCTTTGCATCTTCTGAGCACCAATCATCGGCACGAAACAAAGCAATTCGTGGCTGCTTGGATTTGTCCAGAAATGGGGTATACAGTTTGCATCAAGAGTGCATATCCAATCTTAGCTTCCGTCGGTAATGGCAAGCGATATGTCTCAAGCTATCTATCCACACAAGATTTCCCTAGATGTGGAGGTTTTAGAGGTTTCCAGTTTTTGTTGGGCAAACCAGTGCCCAATGTTTTTTCTCTGAGTTCCACACGCAGGGTGAGCATAGGCTGGTGCGCCACTGGGTGCCGCGGCGGTCAACCCAGGAGAATAGCAATGAAAGTTGGGGACGGAAGCTCCAATAAATTTCGGCTTCGGAACCAAATCAAGAAAAGTAGTACCGCGTTGATTTTTTTCCGGACAACATGGTACACATGGGCACCCCGAATATGAATGGTGAATCAGTTAACCGCCATTTTCAGTACTAAAACGGCCATCATTCACCGGTGGTATACCATGAATCGCCCATTATCAGACACATACATTGTCAGCCAAACTGAGGACTCGCTGAGTTGGTCGTGGCCATCCTATGGCTATGGCTCGTGATTCTATCCAACCAAAAGCGTCAAAATAAGAAACATTGGAACATCACGACTGGAACTTGGAACTGAAATGACAACTCTGTTTTTGGATGGTCAGTGTTCCACTGGGCCACAACATCCTTCTTACTTTTGGTTAACTGGATTCCAAATAGATTCTGAGGGGTGAAAGAAGCAGCCAGATATCATATCTATAGGGCTTCGGCTTGCGCCTGTGTGATCTCTCAATAAAAGGTTCCACACGCACTGAGGGTTGTCGGGCTCCCACCAGAAACAAAAAGAAACTGGACGACACACACAAACGAGCCGCCGAGAAATGACACCTGACATCACCTGACACTCTGTACT